CAAAGCCGTCGTGGTGTACACTACGCAGGGTGGGCCCAAATGGAGAGAGGGACCGTACCCCAGGCCAGAAAGATCAATCACCGCAACTAACCCACATTTTGAATCTTATACGTTCGGGCCCCCGGATTTTCCAGATTTGGGCCCCGGATGGACCTTGGAGGTGCGCGGAAGCTCTGTGGCGCAAATGTTCGCCATGCGCTGTGGTGCACGTTGCTCCTGTGGTGTGCACAGGCGCTGTGGTGCACGCAGAAGCCTCTGCTGCAGCAGCACCTGTGGTGTGCAAGACAGTTGTGGCGCACGCGCATTTTGTAGTGCTCACAGGCAGTGTGGTGCACGCGTGTTCTACACATAGTGTACACAAGACTTGGCGGCTACGCTTGGCAATCGCATCCCGCGCATTCCAATGCGAGCTGTCCAGACTTCCCTAGGCATTCTCAGACGGCGCCCGCATCGTCGCAGCACCAATAGTGGCATCGTGGCAGCATCGTTAGAAGCTGTAGGGGCCGCAGCACTGGTGCGTGCGGGCATAAGCAGGGCTGCCCACAGCGCGAAGGTTATGTTATCGGCCGGCCCCCTCCCCCCCTCCCGGATGACCCGGGTTATCGCCGATTCAAAAAAATGGTCTCTAGTCGCGCGAAGACTTCCCAGCAGTTGCCTCCGAACTTCTAGGGAGAGCCTGGGACGCGCTTCGAAAGGCAGAGGGGCTTCTTGGAGGCCGCCCTGGCTTCTGAGAAGGCTTCCTCTCTGTGGTAAATCATTGGGACCTGGCATGTCCTCTCCATTCTGTCTTTGGTGTCGACTCACGTCGGTTAGCGTCTGGGAGTCGATGAGACTCTGCAGCAAATCATGGGAGCCTGTTATATCATCGCAATTATGCTTTTAGCGTCGACTAGCGTCGATTAGCGTCTTGTAGTCGATCAGATAGCGCCGACTTAACGTCGACTAGCGTCGACAAGCGTCGATTTAGTGTCGACTGGTGTCGACTAGCGTCGACGAGCGTCGATTCGCAAGAGCCGACAAGATGATATGGGAGGCTCCAATGAGTTGCCACCGAAGGCTTCCTAGAATCCCCCAGGCCATTGGCCCTTCTCAGAAGGCCCCGGCCCTTGAAGAAGCCACCCCGCCGTCTTACACGGCCGCCCCCTCGCGCCATACCCTTGTGCGCGCCGGCAGATGTCCAAGGTGGGCATTTATACGTAACCACCGCCCGAGGGGTCGATTTTCGGGGACCTCGGCAGGCGGTGGATATCTGGATACCCAGACCCCCTTCGGGTGATGACAAAAATCACGACGGGAGGTTTTTGGTTATTTTCGACTTCCGGGGGCCCTTACGGGGCCTCGGGGCCGTCAGAAAACGATTGAAGATGAAACGCCGTTCCTGGGGAAGGGGTCCAACCTCTGAGGGCCGACGTTGTGAACAGGTCACAACGCCGGGGTCTGGGATGTTGGCGCCTCCTCCGGCCAAAATATATCCACAGTCACCGCCCGCTGGGGTCCCAGGTCGTCGGCCCCACGGGCGTTGGGTGTGGACGCTCAGGACTTCACGGCCCAAGGGGGACGGCCCGGCCGGTTTTGGACAAGGGTCTGATGTGCGTTGCCTCTACGGTTAAGTCGGGCATGTCCTTCCCCACTATGTTTGATCATGTTTGAATTTGGTTGGACTCTTTTTCATTTTTCGTCCAAAATCCCCGTGTAGGAGGACATGCTCGACCTAACTCTGAGGGCTCCGGGGGGTCTGGGCATAAGGCCGCCCTTCCATTCCGTGGCGAGCCTGGGGGGGAGTGAAAAGGGGCGGGCCTTCTCAGAAGGTTCGGAAGTCCTCTGGCCTGCTGGGGAGTTTTCTAAGCCTTCCCCGAAGACACAGGAAACACCTCGCAGAAGGCCAGAAAGGCCTTCTGAAGAGTTACGCCGCATTCTGAGAAGGCCCTCTCCTTCCCCCCCCCTCGGTCGCCGCCGATCCATGGCTGGTCTTGGGGAGGGGGGCCCCGAACGGGTCGTCTGGGAGGGCTGCGGCCCCCTCCCCCTCTTGCCAGGAGATCTGGGAGCCCGTGCCCGCCCCGCAGGGACCCGGACACCCGCCGACAGGATTCTTTCCGGCCCTGACCTTCCAGAGAGCTATTTTTTAGCACTGGAGACCTAAAAACCTAAAACACCAAACGAAACAGCCCCAAACCAAGACTTAGAATAGCCCTGGGATCGGTTTTTAGGTCGGGTGCTACTTTTTAGCCCTCCTGGAAGGTCAGGGTTCCGGCCCGCTGCCCCGAGCAGGTCCCGGCCCCTTCCCCGGGGCATGGCCCGTCGTCCGGGAGCGTCGCTATGGTCCCTACATGTAGGGCCCGGGAGCGGGCCCCGGAGGCCGAAGACGGGGGAAGGAGCGCCCGACGGGGAGCACCCTTCGCGAGCTCACAGCGAGCACCCGTGCCCTGACCTTCAGGAGGGCTAAAAAATAGCACCCGACCTAAAAACCTATCCCAGAGCTATTCTACGTCTTGGTTTTGGG